GTACAGCAGTATTTTCATAAAAGATGCCAGGAACAGAATGAAGACTTCCAAGAGGAAATTCTTTCTGCAAACTTGCAACATGCTGCTGATGTAAGTAAAAGATTCTCCTGTTGATGATGATGATGATGATGATGATGATGATGATGATGAAAAAGAAGAATGGGTCCACGTATGGTTTGATTTATCTTATGAATGATGATTTAGATATTAATGACTGCAGGTGATTGTTCAGTAACACTGTTTAAAATGATGGACATTTTATTTAATTGGTTTGATGGAAATTACTGTTTGTTAAACTGCAAAAGAGAAATGTGAGCTCCACACCTTACAGTCATTTTCATGCTTCATTCAAAGATGCAACTCTAAAATTACTTAAAAAAAAATCCATTCCCTATTTAACACTGAAAAGAACGTAACAGGGAGGCTGTCAATATTCTCTGCTGTGACCCTTTATTTAGATAAACTCTTGACTCAGACTTTTGCCAAGGGAATGAAATGGCATTAGAACATATATCTCATTCACAGTTCTGGGACACTGGCAACATCCCATACATGTTGCTAGTTCTATGCCTGTATCATTTGAATATCCCCCATAGCAGTCATGCACTCCATTAGTTACCCATAAATCACAACAACTAATTGTACCTACTCACTATAGCAGGGTTTGACCTGAGAAACTCTAAAACTCTTGCTTAATTTTATTAACACTGAGCATTTGAATAATTTCATTTTTTTTAAATAAAGTTCTCCCTTGACCAGCAAGGGAATTGTCAGCAGAGCTTAAGCCTCAACAGCAGCTGCTAATGTTCTTAGCCAAGTTCTTCAGTTATTGTCCATCTGCAGTGATATGTGGCTGGCTTCTGCCCTGGCATTTGCTTAATCTTCAGAACAGATGTCCTGCCTCTAGGAAAACTTAATTTCTGATTCCTCTAATCCAGATGCTGGCCAAAATGTTGTTTTCAATCTGTACAGAACAGTTTGTTTTTTGTTCCTTCCTAAGAGCTGGGTTTTTTGCTGATAATTTTTTCTATAAGAGTCATATTAATATGCTCAAAAATCCACTGTTGAGTTTCCGATAAAGGATCACATCTGTTCATGAAAATCTTCTTCTCTGCTGGGTTGCAATCAATGCAGCTGCCACTCACAGGATGGAATAAAGTTTTGTCCTGTGGGATAAAAATTAAAAAAAATAATAATTAAGAACCAAGTGTCAGATGATTAAAAATGGACATATTTTCCAGAACATAGTTTAAAACACCCAAGTCAGGCTTCTTTGACATTTATGTAGCAATTCTACACAGAATAATTTAAGAGTGGAGAAAAATTTGCTCCCATATTATTTTCAGTGAATTATATGTCATTGTCTCTAGCAGTGTTTCTCAAACTTGGCAACTTTAAGATGTGTGGACTTCAACTCCCAGAATTCCCCCGCCCCCAACGCTGACTGGGGGAGTCTGGGGGGTGGAGGTCTCCCCTCTTTTTAATGTCCACATTTGGA